AACCAGCAAAGGAAAAGAAAACACGGGAGACAGAAAGCGGCTGGCCTCCGCCTCTTGGCCAAATTGTTCAGCATGTTTTTCAATTACTTGGCAAGCTCCAGAGCTGTGCTGGAAGTTCATTTTCTATTCTGCGAGGGAAAACAAAGGCAGGGAGGGGCGATTGTTCCTAGCAAATTTGGGCAACTTTGCTCCCAGTCAGACAGAACTCATGATCGCATGATCATGATCGTTTTTCACCCTTCATCTCTCCTCCACTTTCTTCTCCTTTGTCCTCCTCCTTCCTTAACTCTTCTCACTGAAGTTTGGGCCACTGGACCTGGGTGGGGGTGGAGTGGGGAGGAAGTGGCCAGTGGTTTAGCGCTCCACTGCTAACAGAAATGTGGTTTGAATCCCCCAGCTGCTCCATGGGGGAAAGCTGTGGCAGTCTGCTTTCATAAAAGATTTGTAGCCTTCCAAAGCCTATGAGGCACTAGAAATTACCACTTAATGGTAATTGGTCTTGTTTTGTTTTTGGTTAGCCCTGGGGGCTACTAGAGTATGAAGATATGGAGTGGTTTACCATTTTCCTGATGTTCAACCTTTTGGATGATTTGTTTCCCTCAGTTCAGGTATGGTCAATTTTGTTGTCTTCTATAGAGGACCTTTTTGTAGTGTATCTGGAGTCCTGGGAAATGAAGGAGATGTGAGAGCATGAAATTATGTTGAGATTATGTTTCTATATAACCACCACCCTGTATGTAACCATTTTGAGTAGGTAGCCATTTGTGCAAAAAGCCTCAGCACGTACCTCACACTTTAGTGCCTTAGTTACTAGAAAAACCATAAAGACCTCACACCTAACTACCTCATCGATACTCTCAAATACACTCCTTAGCAACAACCAATCAGTAGATAGCACAGACATACCTTACCTAAAATAGTTAGAAATCACAGTTGGTGGCTTCGGCCCACTAGGCAGAGCCAATCAAGTAGGAACAACTAGCAACTTGGGAAATGTCAACCAATCCTGTAATTTTCTAATTAAAACTTTCTTGTTTCTGTTGAGACCCCTATATAAACCCCATTACCCCTGAGTTTGAGGCTCTCAATCCTAAACCGCTCTGTCGGTGACGGTTGGGGGTCCGAGCTCAAGCTCGAATAAACAACCCCCATGCTTTTGCAGTGGAATCGGCTCCTTGATGGTTATTTGGGGATTTAAGGACTGGGCACAACATTTGGGGGCTCGTCCGGGATCCCCAGATACCCCAGGACTCCCGAACCAGGGGGTTGCAGCTGGCTGATAAGTGTTTAAATGTTTGATGTTTGTCTATGTGTGTTGCTTGGGGCCCATTTTCTGTAGAGCTGACTCAGGCCTAAGTGGACGCACAGGTGGGCCATCAGCTGGAGGACCTGGAAGACGTTCCAGGGCCTCCTCTTCTGGAAGGGGATTAGGAAACCCCTTCAACCTGGGGAGGAGATAAAAGTCATCCTCCATTCTGGAACCTGTAAAGGGACGGAGCGGGTCGCTCCCGCAGTACGGTGTGAGGCCGTCGTCCTACTTTCAGTTTTGCTTCCAATCTACAGGAGGCATATTTTGTTGGTCTCTTTGTGTGTTTGTTTGGTTCATATCAGTGTCTTTGGTTTTGTATAATCGGTGGACGGGCGAAATGGGACAAACTGTGACGACTCGTCTTTCTCTCCTGACTGACAATTTTAAAGAAGTTAGACAAAGGGCACACGATTTAAGTTTAGAAATAAAAAAAGGAAAATTTGTCACATTGTGTAACTCAGAATGGCCAACGTTCAACGTAGGATGGTCAGCCGAAGGTACATTTGATCTTCAGATTATTTTAAAGGTGAAAGAAGTTGTGTTCCGGTCCAGCGGGGGACACTCAGATCAGGGGTCGTATATTATCACATGGCAGGATTTAGTGGAAAACCCACCTCCTTGGTTAAAGCCGTTGTTACCTCTTTCTCTTCCTAAGCAGGCACCTAAACCCATACTGGCAGTGAAAACTTATACTGCCAGGAAGAAGGAACTTGAAGTCAAACCTTTGGCACCGACCTACCCAGTCCTTCAGGGTGGGCCGGAGGAAGACCTTCTCCCCCCACCCCCTTACCAAATCCTTTCAGCAGGTATTGCAGCTGGAGAGGGTGCACCACCCCAAGTGCCGGACGGTGGCGGGGCAATGGTAGCCACAGGTCCGGCAGCTGGCACCTGCGGAAGAATGCAGCACGCAGCCTCCTCTAGTGGACCAGCAGATTCCACGGTCTTGCTGTTGTGAGCCGCAGGGCCTGCAGACACAACCGGCAACCAGCAGCTTCACTATTGGCCTTTTGCCACTAGTGACCTGTACAATTGGAAAACTCAGAATGCCAAGTTCTCAGATAATCCCAGAGACTTAACTGACCTCCTAGAGACTATTCTGTTTATTCATCAGCCTACCTGGGACGATTGTCAATAGCTTCTCCAAATTTTATTCACTACTGAGGAAAGTGAGAGAATCCAGATGGAAGCCCGGAAATCTGTCTTGGGGGATAATGGGCAGCCCACTACTAATATAGTTGTGATTAATGCTACCTTCCCTTTGACTCGTCCTAATTGGGACTACAACATGGCTGAAGGTAAGGAGAGACTCCGGGTGTACCATCAGACTCTAATGGGAGGTCTCAGGGCAGCCGCAAGGAAGCCTACCAATCTGGCTAAGGTAGGTGACATACAGCAAGGGAGGGATGAAAGTCTGGCTGCTTTCTTAGAAAGATTAATGGATGCATTTCATCAATATACCCCCATGAATCCGGAAACATCTGAAACTAAGGCCGCACTAATCATGGCCTTTGTAAATCAAGCAGCCACAGACATTAGGAGAAAATTACAGAAAATTGACAGACTAAATGAAAAAAGTATTCAGGATTTAATGTTAGTTACAGAGAGGGTATATAACCATAGGGAAAATCCAGAGGACCGACAGGCCAAGGCACTAGAGGCAGCCAGTTACCGGAACACTTGGAACCTTGCAAAAATCTTACTCACCTCAACAATAGGGAGCGCCCAAGAAAGGGAACAGCAACTGCAGAAAATCGCAAAATACTGAGGTAAGGGGGATCCCCCCAAGGGAGGATGCCCTAAACTGAGCAAGGATCAGTGTGCCTATTGCAAGGGAAGAGGACATTGGGCAAAAGAGTGCCTAAATAAAAAGACTCCTAAACCACAGACTAAGGTACTAGAATTGGGAGAACTCAGTGATTAGGGGCGACGGGGTTTGGTCCCCCTCCCCGAACCCAGGGTAACCCTTAGAGTGGAGGGGACTCCAATCGATTTCCTGGTAGACACTGGGGCGCAACATTCAGTCTTACTTAAACCTCAAGGGAAATTGTCTAATAAAACCTCCTGGGTTCAAGGAGCCACAGGAACAAAACAATATTCATGGACTACCTGAAGAACAGTAGATCTCAGTGTGGGACGAGTATCCCACTCATTGATGGCAATTCCAGAGTGCCCTTATCCACTTCTCGGGAGAGATATACTAACCAAAAGAGGGGCACAAATCCACTTTCAAAAAGGAGGGGCAACCGTTATGGACAGTAAGGGCCAGACTATTCACGTGTTAACTGTGAACCTAGAAGATGAATATAGGCTCCACCAGCAACCCCCTCCTCCTCCATCTGAAGACATAAAACAGTGGTTATTAGCTTTTCCTAAAGCATGGGCTTAGGGAGGCATAGGGTTAGCAAAACATAGACCACCGGTTTATGTAGAAACTAAACTGGAATGGACCCGGTCGGAGTCCGACAGTACCCTATGTCACGAGAAGCCCGAGAAGGTATAACCCCTCACATCTGGTGCCTATTAAAACTAGGAATACTCCGACCCTGTCAGTCCACATGGAACACTCCTCTACTCCCTGTTCGGAAACCTCATTCCAATGACTATAGACTGGTGCAAGACCTCTGAGAGGTCAATAAGCAGGTCATAGACATTCATCCTACTGTTCCTAACCCATACACCCTCCTTAGTTCTTTACCCCCGGATCACCAGTGGTACTCAGTCTTAGACCTTAAAGATACTTTTTTTCAGCCTACCACTGGCCCCAAAAAGCCAGGACCTGTTTGCCTTTGAATGGACTGACCTGACAGAAGGCATTAGCGGACAACTGACCTGGACGATGTTACCCCAAGGGCTCAAAATCTCGCCCACAATTTTCGATGAAGCACTACAGGAAGACCTGGGTAAGTTCTGATCCAACCACCCTGGTCTCACGCTGTTACAATATGTAGATGATCTCCTAGTTGCTGCAGCAGACTACGAGACCTGCCTCCAAGGAACCAGAGACCTGCTCCAAACACTAGGACATATGGGGTACTAAGCATCAGACAAAAAGCCTCAACTTTGCCAGCCTGAGGTGAGCTATTTGGGGTACATATTAAAAGAAGAACAAAGATGGCTGACCAGGGCCCGCAAAGAGACTGTGCTAAAAATCCCTAGACCCAGCACCCCATGCGGAGTGCGGGAGTTCCTAGGATCAGCTGGCTACTGTAGACTTTGGATACCAGGTTTTACAGAACTAGCAAAGCCTCTCTATGAAGCAACTAAGGAAGGGCAGAAATTTCAGTAGACAGAGGCCATGGAAAAATCCTTTAATTTACTTAAAACTGCCCTTCTGTCCGCTCCTGCCCTCGGATTGCCGGATGTAACAAAACCCTTCCATCTATACGTTGATGAAAATAAAGGGGTAGCAAAAGGAGTTATAGTCCAACACCTAGGCCCCTGGAAAAGATTGGTAGCCTATCTCTCAAAAAAATTAGACCCAGTAGCAGCGGGGTGGCCCCCGTGCTTACGCATAATAGCACCAACAGCCTTATTAGTCAAAGACGTGAACAAACTTACACTGGGGCAGGAACTATATGTTACCACCCCGCATGCCATAGAAGGAACTCTTAAACAACCTCTCGATCAATGGCTCAGCAATGTGCGGCTCACCCACTACCAAGGACTGTTACTGAACCCAACCACGATTATCTTTCAGTCACCTACGGCACTGAACCCTGCCACCCTGTTACCAGATTCGGATTTGAGTGCTCTGCTCCATGATTGTGTGGACATTTTAGCTCAAGCACACGGGATCCGAGCTGACCTACGAGACACCACTTTACCAGATGCCGAAGTTACCTGGTATACGGATGGGAGCAGCTTTGTGCATGATGGACCACCACTGCAGGGGCGGCAGTGGTGATGGAAACTACAATAGGGCTGAGCCGTTACCGGCTGGAACATGGACCCAATGAGCTGAACTAATAGCATTAACCAAAGCCCTAACTTTGGGAAAAGACAGAAAAATTAAATGTTTATACGGACAGTCATTATGCTTTCGCCACGGCGCATATTCACAGGGCAATCTATTGGGAAATGGGGGCTACTAACCGCAGAAGGGAAGACAATTAAGAACAAAAACGAGATCTTAGATCTACTAGCTTCCCTGTGGCTCCCAAAGAAACTTGCCATCATTCATTGTCCGGGGCACCAGAAAATCACCACGCCAATTACCTGAGGCAACAATCTAGCAGACCAAACCGCCCGAGAAATTGCTCTGTCTACTGACCTACTATTAACTTCCAACCTACCTGATCCTGGGAGTCCTACTTTACCTGCAGATCCCAACTACATGGAGGAAGACTTAAAATGATTAAACAGTTACCCGGAACTCAGTGCGTATGCAATTGGTGGAAATCAGCAGATCACAAAGCCATCCTCCCCAAAAAGCTGGGAGAAGAAATTTTATTCAAAATACACCAAACCATCCATCTAGGAACCAAAAAAGATGCAGGAGTTATTAAAACGAGCAGATGTAATAATTAAAAATGTTCAATCTAAAATTGAAACAATTATTTCTGACTGTAAAGCCTGTCAGTTAACCAATGTTACTAAAAACCCCTCAAATCTAGGCTCCAGATCAAGAGGCAACACACCGGGGACTTGCTGGGAAGTGGACTACACGGAGGTAAAACCAGGAAAATATGGATATAAATATTTGTTAGTCTTTGTAGATACCTTTTCAGGGTGGGTAGAAGCCTTCCCCACCAAGTGAGAGACAGCTCATGTTGTAACCAAGAAACTATTAGAAGACATCCTACCCAGGTATGGTTTTCCTACTATGATAGGGTCAGATAATGGACCGGCATTTGTGTCTAAAGTAATACAGGGATTAGCAACTATTCTTGGGGCTAATTGGAAATTACATTGTGCTTACAGACCCCAAAGTTCAGGCCAGGTAGAAAGAATGAACAGAACTCTAAAAGAGACCTTAACAAAATTAACCATAGAGACTGGCGGGGACTGGGTGACTCTCCTCCCCTTTGCCCTATTTCGGGTCCATAACTCTCCTTATAGATTAGAATTAACACCTTTTGAAATTGTTTATAGTAGACCTCCGCCTATTGTTCCCAGGTTCCAGTCTGATTTGTTACTTGAAATTGATAATCATGAACTCATTTATTCCCTTCAAGCCCTGCAACAAGCCCAATGGGACATCTGGCCGAGCTTGAGAGATCTTTACCAATCTAATTCCCCTCCTGAACCTCACCAGTACCAACCCGGTGATTGGGTGTACGTGTGGAGACATCGACAAGAAACTCTACAACCTCGCTGGAGAGGACCTTACATCATAATCTTGACTACGCCCACCACCCTCAAAGTTGACGGAATAGCCTCCTGGATTCATCATACCCACGCCCGCAAAGCTGACCCCGTCCCGGATCAGGAATGGCACATCTCCAAGGACCCCAACAATCCACTCAAGCTAAAAATTCAGCGATGTGGACCTCACTAGTAATACTGTTAGTAACCAGTAACTATGTAAACCCCTCTTCTAGCCCACACACACCCCAGCGACTGACCTGGACAATTACGTCGGCCACAGGGGACGTTATCAGCTCTATTACAGGCAACCACCCCCCCAACACCTGGTGGCCTGACCTACATGCTGACTTATGCCAATTAGCAGCTGGATTCTGGGATATCTTAGATTGGGAACCCAACAAAAATGATACCCCTGAATGTTCAGGCAAACCCACGTGCCAGCGGATATGTGGTTCTAGAGGAATCAATGGAGTAGGTTGTGGGCACCCTGAACTCCACTACCAACTCTGTAAGTTACCATTTTACGTTTGCCCAGGGGGAAGAAAAGACAAACCTTTAGCAAACCAGTGTGTGGGGGGGTATCAGACTTTTATTGTAAAGCATGGGGGTGTGAAACAACGGGAACCACTTACTGGGAACCTTCCTCAACTTGGGATCTCATCACCGTAGACAGGGATCATACTGGTGATGAGTTAACTGTCAGTTCTTGCCGATCATACGAGTTTATGCGGAGGTTCCCCACCAGAGGAAGTATGTATATTGGAGAAGGTCCATGTATGAGTTTCACCTGTAATCCTATTAGAATCCTATTCACAGAGCAAGGAAAACAGTATAAAACCTGGGTGGCAGGCTGATCCTGGGTACTTCAGTTGTACCAGACAGGGTACAATAATGGAGTCATTTTCTACATTAGACTAAAAATTGAATCCTGGACACCCCTTGTTGCAATCGGGCCCAACTCAGTGTTAGTCCCACAATCACCCTCCCCACCCTCCAATAATCAACACAGCACGCCAGTCTGAAATTCTCCTCCCCGCATCACCCCTTCAAGGGGCGACACATCAGTCCAAAGTTTACAAGAAGACCCCCTTTGGGAAGTTATGATCCAAACTTTCCACTTACTAAATTTAACCCAATCTAATTTAACAAAGTCCTGCTGGCTATGCTATGATATCAAACCCCCCTATTATGAAGATATTGCATTTATAGGAAAATTCAACCAGTCA